ATTGTATTTACAAATTCTTTATTTTTCAATCATACATATTAACAGTGTTTCTTGATTCGTATTGCAGAGCTATTGGAAATACATTTCTATCCAGCACTTGTGTTATCTAGCAGATGAGCATTTTCAGATTGTTTCCTAGATGATAGTTCTTTTAAATGTCAGAAACTACACTTGCTCTGTTAGGGTTTTTTGTTTTTTTTCTTTTTTTTTAATTGCACAATGCCTTAAAATTCTAAGATTCTACTGCAAACCACCTTCTGTCACAGTGTTTCAGGCYGACCTGGGTGTAAACTTCCACCATACGAGAAAGTCAAAGAAATTTTAAGTGCAAAAATATATCTATTTGCAAGGGTGGGAGAGGGGGGAAGAAAGGAGGGGAAGTGGGGGAAGTGGGGTGTTTTGTCAGAAATATTACACCTAATCCAAATTTATCTCTAATACRAGCTGTTTGAGTCTGCTTGGCCTGCAACCTGCAAAGGTATCCTGCCCGTTTGGCTGTCCATTTTTTTCCTGCTATGAATTGTTAGTAAAATCTACTTGAAATAAAATGGAGGAAAAGATATRCCATAGCATCTGCATAAGTTTTTTATCAACTTTTGAGGTGACCATTTTACATTCAGACTGTAAAATGTGTGCAGAAAATAGGCCTGAGAAAGAATTCTGAACCTCACAGCATTTGGTTTATATTTTTTTGACTGGAATTGAAGTGTCTGGCACATCATTCATTTYGTCTTGGAAGGTGCAGATTTGAGGACATGTTCAACCCTGCTCTAAGTTTAGACAGTTTCAGAATAAAAGGGAACTATTCCCAAAGTCCCTGCCCTCTAGGTCTGCCTTTTAGATAACGAAGTTTCTGAAGATTTGCTCAACACAAACCGACTAAAGAGGAAAGAAAAAAAAAAAAAAAAAAAGGGGGGGGGGGGGGGGACGGGGACGATGACGACAGAAAAGCACATGCTTTTGCATTTCTTCTGAGTTTATTCACAATTATATCCATCTGGGGGAAACAACTAGGTCCCCAACAAATTAATGGTCTGATGATTCAGGGAAATGCTAGCTAGGTTCTCAGTAGTAAAATACATGTAAATAAAGACAGGGGTGTACAGAGGTGAATCTAGTTTGGCAGGATAGACTTTTTCAAAGATTAAGGATTAATTTGGAAACAATAGGCTCCTAATAAAATGCCAACGTTAAAGTATTTTTATTAAAACGCATCTTGGAATAAGGGATCAAATTCTCTCGGACTCAGCTGCAGCCCGCTGAGGAACCTGAGTAGAGGCACCATTTATTAGCAGAGGCGACTCATTAGAGCGGGGGAAATCGCTGTCGGCTGGGAACTCGGTCGCGCTTGAGCTGGATGTTTTGCCTGAGGAGCTCAGGATCGGCCCCTTGCCGTGCCCCTGCCCCTGCCGCCCGCTGCAGTGCGGGAGCGGCGCTCACCTCTTCCCGCGGGGAAAGGACATCAGCCTGCGCCAGGAGAACGATCCGCTGTCTCTAAACAGTGATCCCCTGGCCAGCCAGCCTGAGCAGAGCAGCAGTACCTTCAGATGCTCAACAAATGCTCGCCTAAAACACGAAACGCTGATTCCTTCTCTTTTTTTTTTTTCAGTCTTTATTTTTTTTTCTTCCTGTGACAGCAACTTCGAGAGATTAATCCCTCTCCAGAGTTTGCCCGTGCCTTGTCATGTCACTAACGTCCTGCACAACTCAACGAGATAAAACCCCTGACAAGCTAATCAGGCCGGGCGGGGGCTGGCACCGCGTCCTGGGGCCGGCGGCGGCTCCGCGCCCCCGCCGCCTGCGAGCCCGGCCCGCCGCGGATCGCT